TCCCATCCTTGCAACCCTAATTTTCATGACTGTAGCCACACTTGAAGGCCCTTAATAATGTTTTGCATTTACTCCTTTGTGTCCTTTGTTGAAAATGACATACCTCTCCATTTCTGCCTGATGAAATAATTTAAGACCCAACTTGAGCCCTGGCTGGGCAGCTCAGTTGATTGGAGTGTCCTGATACCCCAAGGTTTCGGTTCTATCCCTGGGACAGGGCACATAAAGGAATCAACCAATAAATGTATAAATAAGTGGGACAACAAATTGATGTTTTTCTCTCTCTTTCTCCTTTCTCTCTTCTCTAAAATCACTAAACAAAAAAAAATTATTTAAAAAAAGACCTAACCTGAGTACCACCTCCTCCATGAGGAAGACTTCCCTAGTTTTCTTCAGCTAGAAAGAATCTCCCTGGTCTAAGCTCCTATGGATATCTGTTTATATAAACATTTCTGCCTTCCTTTAGCTCTTTCTGTGGCATCTCCTCAGTTAGAGCCCTTGGAAGGTACAGAGCAAGAATTTCATTTAGTCTCTGCCATCGCACCCAGCAGCAAGTGGGGTATGAATGTGTCTGCCTAACGCAGGGTAGGGCTCAGACTAGTGCCTGTTGCCTGAACGCAGGATTTCCTGCTTACACAGTTCATTTTTAGGCTGGTGCCTACCAGAACGGGCCGCACACGGTTAGGTTACACAGCCAGGGGAGTCGGGATGCTCCAGCCAAACCCTAGGGTGCCCCTATCGCCTCCCTCTGCCCAGTTCCGAACGCGGTGCGGGTGTGAAGGAAGCGGGGCTGTAGTAGCCCCACCGGCTCCTCCTCCGCGACCCCCGCCCCGCGGGTCAAGTTCCAGAAGGTCTCCCTCCGGTCCAAAGGCCTCAAGAAACTTGAGACGGCGGTGTCGGAGAGACAGGGGCCTCTGCTACAGAAGCGCCTCCCACGCGAGGCTAGTTTATCTATTTATTTGTATTTATTTTGGAGGCAGGGGGCGATCAATGAAGAGAAGGGGTGGGGCAAGCGGAGGGGGCGGGCCGAGGGTGATTGACGCCAGCGCCGGGGAGCCAATGGCCCATGGGGGGCGTTCTCCCCATTCAGGACTCCTCGCCAGGCTCCCAAGGTATGTTAAACAGCTGCTTTTAATTTGTTCCCCCCCAATCTCAAGCGTTTGGGGGGCTAGTTAGCCGGCCGATCGCTTTGGCCTGTCCACCACGGTGCGGGCGCCGTGGGCCTCGGGACGAAACTAGGGGAGGCTTGGGGTCCGAGGGAGGCGAGGGCCAGGCCAGGAAAGAGATCTCTGCGTCGTCGCTTGCCAGTGTGTTTCCCAGCCAGGCGGGTTTCGTGGGCGGGTCGGCCCGGCCCGGGGTCGCCAGCGCGCCGGTGTGCTGCCTAGTTTGTTTCACTGAGCCGTTGGTTTCGGTTGGTTGCGGCTGGGGACTGGGTGAAGTGTCGGGCAGGAGGGGTCTCCCTTGAAAGCATTAAAAAAATTATTGTAAAGGGAAAAGGGTGATTCTGCACACCGACTGAAGTGGGCCCGGGCTGCGGCGCGCGGGCTCGGCAGGGGCGGAGGCCTGAGCCCTCGGTAGCGGAGTGGGTCGAGAGCTGGAGTTTGGGAGCGAGCCGAGGCCCGCGGCTTCCGCGACTGAGCACGCCGGGCGATCATGACTGGCGCCCGGAGGGTTTCGTTTCTGTACGCAAACTGTAGGAGGGACGGTGGGCGCGCTCCTGAGAGGCGCGAGTGCCTGGGGCCACGGTTGTTATGGACTCTGGGGGCGGGGGCAACGCGGGCCTAGCGGGAGGGGCGGCCGGGGGCGGGAAGGCCACCGGAAAGAGCCCCCCGCGCTGGCCTAGGCGCTCCGGATTCCCCGGCCGTGGCAGAACCGGCATTCGGCGCTGGAGTCCGCCAGGCCGCCAGCTCGCGCCAACTCGGTCCGCGGCTGTGGAAAACCTCCAACAACTCGGTGGCTTCGACCCGTGCACCAGCTGATCCCACACACAAGGAGCTGCCTCCTTCCTCGCCTACCCCAAGGCAACAGCCGAAGGGGCGGGGGCGCGGCTTATGAGCGTACCCACGGGGGTTAGTTGAGAGGAGCAGTGAAGGTCGGAAACTGCGAAAACAGTCTCCACGCTCAGACTCGGGAAAAGGAAATGCATCAGCAGGCGGGGAGGAGCGCGGGGGCGCGCCTGTCAGCCGGAATGGCGGCCGCCGACTGGTAGGCGGGGCGTTGGCGGGAACCGCCGCGGTCGGCTGGAGCGTCTCCGAGAGAGGACGCGCAGAGGCCGGGCCCACGTCGGGCCCAGCCGCTCTTGCCTCCACGCCTCAGCCGCCCTAGCCTGTTTACTATCTACTGCGACAACCGCCTGTCCACAGACCCGGAGGAGAGCTGGGGGGCGGGGCCTTTCCCCCTCGCTTCCACCCATTTCGGGCTCCTCCATAGGGCCCGCCTTCTCTTGTCTTCCACTGGATGGGCGGTGAGACCCCCCCCCTTTTTTCCTTCTCGGTTATTGATTGGATAACCTTCTTCCGAGCTCCGCCTATCGGACGCTGGGCTGGAGTTTAAGTTCGAGGATTTTTTTTTTTTTCGTGAACGGAGGAGGAAGGATTCCTACGGCCTAAGGCGAGGCGCAAGGTCCCTCCCCTACTTCTGATTGGTGGGATAGATAGTCCCGCCTTTGGCGTAGCTAGCTTGGAGGAGGAAGTCCACCCCTGTTCCCCGCCCCCTCTCTCAGGTTGTAGGCGCGCTCGACCACTGGTGAGGTCCGCCTTGCTCCTTAGAAGTGTGTCCCGCCCGGAAGTCCCGGCTTTGGAGTTGGAGCCCGTGGCAAGGCGGGGCGAGCCAAGAAGACACACAATGATTCATTCCACCAAGGCTCGATATCTAGTAGCCTTTGCGATGAAGTTAGGGGTTGACGGTGCGGAGAGAATTGGGGGGAGGGGGCTTAGTTCCGGTTGATCAGCATGGGTACCGTTAGAAGGAGAGAGTGAGACCTGCCCTTCCGGGCGAAGTACTAAAGTACTGACCCTGCGGCCTGGCTTATTCCTGCGCCCTTGTACTTTTTAAAGATCGTCCTCTGTTTAAGCTTGAAAACGCTGCGGCCGTTGTGTTTTCTTCCCAGCGTAAGGCAGCCGTTGTCCTTAGTTGTATTTATCTAAAACTCTAAGCAACTTATGTATGTTTGGTCTGGAGGCCTCAGGCAAGATCCAGAGCAGCTCATCCCCTGTTGACGGGATGAATCCTGCTTGGGTTCGAAGTGGTCAGGTGGGAGTGCAGTGTGGTACACAGTGCAGGGAGCGGGGTCGACCTCGGAAATGCCGCTTCTTCGAAACCGAAGGGTTTGGTCCGGGGTTCCCTTTCCTCGGTGTGACTTATTTTTAGAACTCTATTGGGCAGGACTTGGATCCCAGCGAGGCTGCTTCCATTTGTCGGCTGCTCCTGGGGTTCAGAATTAGCTGCCTTGTCCTTGTGGCTTGAAGCCGTCCTTCGAGTCAGGCCCACCTGTTGCCGGCGCTCATTCCTTGCCGTCTCCACCCCATTGGGTAGGGAGGGCACGTTAGGACTTAGGTTTCTGGGGCCTGCCACTTGTCTAGTAGGCTCTCTTGTAGTAGCCTTTGGCTGCAGAGAGCGGGAAAACTCTAGTCCCGCCCCCTTCTCTTCTGGCGCTCAGTGAGCACCCTCCAAAACATGGCTAGCATCAGTTCTCCGCCCTATTTGATGAATGAATAAAAGCAACCTAAAGACTTAAAGCACTTTGTGTGTTCGAAGCACAATGGCAAAAAGAGAGCTTAAGGATTGCCATTAATCCTCGCTTTCCAAGGAGAAGGTGAACAGCCGTTCTTACCATCTTTTGTCCCCAACTCTAATTTTTATCCTTTTTCTGAAGTTTGACTGAAGGTTTATTTATGCCATGGCCTGTTGGTCTACTTCCTCAGTTCTTCCAGTCTGAGGGTGCCTCTAGATCTAACCTGGAGATCGCGAGTGCCTTTTGCTTCACGCTCCGCCTCCCAGGGCCATGGCTGTTAGAGCCCTGCCTTCATTTTTATTATCTCCGCCCTCTTAAAACTGCTTTTTCAGGTTTATGGAGAAGTGTGCTGCGGGTTGGCAACCCCTGGGGCTATTTCTCGGCTTTGATCTCCAGTTCTTATTCTGCACCCTCCTTACTAAAAAGAATTGTCAGCTGCTCCGGATATTTGTGTTTACGAGGAGGCAGCGTGAAGAAATGTAAATTATAAAGAGTGAATGGGATAGGAAGGATGAAGTTCTCTTTCTCTGTATAGGGGGCGGGGTTTATCCAAGGTGGTTGTGCCTGCCGCTGCTTCTCTCCTAATCCCAGGGATAGAATCTCGGCTATGGAGGGCGGCACCTCCTGTTTCGGCACTGGAACCCTGCCTTCAGTCTCTAGTGTAAACATTCCACAAAAGGACTGCTAAGGTTCAGCCTCCTCGCGCGGGGCGGAGTTAGCTCCTTCTTAGACGGGTGTCCTGGCCAATGGGGGCCTCTATCAGGCGAGAGCTATCCAATACAATGGTTGGGGCGGGGCATGGCCCGGCAGTGTGATAGGAGGAGTTTGTCTCACGGACATTTTATCCCACATCGATTACTTACATTCCTAGGGCAGTGGGAGAGCCTTCCAATGCGATGATCGGCGAGGGCGAGAGCTGACTTGTTGGGTCTGTAGCTGAGACGGCATGGGGCGTGGTATGTGGAATCCTCCAATGAGACGTAAAGGAGTTTTTATGCTTCCTCCAATAGTGTTGCGGCTTGGGGGTGGGATTCAGCAATTCATCTCCAATAGGCGGGGTTGAGTTTGGGTAGCTCCCCGCCAATAGGGGCGTGGAGAAGGTGAGCGATTCCCCCTCCCCTCCCTGCAGAGGGGGAGGGCATAATGTAGACAGGGCACAGCGATTGGCTAAATCTTTGACAGACAGATTATGCGACCTGTGGCAGAGCGAAGCTGAGTCTTCCCTATGCGGGGCGGGCCGGCGGAGTGGGCGGGATTTCCCGGGTAACAGAGAAGCGGCCGCGGCGGTAGAGGCGGCGGAGACGGTTTCTCCATCTCACCCCCCCTCCCCTTACCCCTCAGAGTTTCCCTCCCTCCCTCCTTCCTAGTCTGGGCATCGGGGCCTGTGACCGCTTCGTTAGCGGAGAGGGAGCTGCCAGTCCTCTTCGGTGGGCCTATGCCCTGCGCCGTTCGCGGGGCCTCATGCTGAGAGGGACACGCAGTAAGAAGCGGTCGTAGCAGCTTTGCGGTGAGAGCACGCCGGGCCGGGGATCCTGGTGGCGGGTAACGCGGGACTCGAGGGTGTGTATTTTTAAGGGGGTGACTGACCTTCTCGGCTTCCCGTAGAGCCGGCGGACGGGAGGTGTGTGGTTGTGTGAGGGGGTGGGGAGGGCGGAGCGGGTTAGATTCGTGCGGGAGGGGGAGGAGAGCGTAGTCCCGGTGCGCGCGGAGAGGGCGGGCTCTCGCGCCGCTGCTCAGGGGCGGGGTCGGCGCGCGCGTGCGGTAGCGGAGAATGGGGCGGGTCTGGCCCTGCGCTGTGTGTTGTCTGTGCCTGACCTCCCTCTCCGGTCCTCCCGAGGTAGGCGGAGCCTCGACGAGGCGGCGCGCGGTTCTGCTGGGGCGTGGGACGAGAGGGGGTCTCCCGCGTGGGTCTGGGAGGAGGCCGAGAGGGTGCGTGAAGTCCGCCTTCTTGGGATCCGGTTGGCCGGAGAGGCTGTATGGACAAATGATGCCACGCCCCCTGGCCACCCTTAACTGCCCCCCACCCCCCGCCACCAGTTTCTTCCTCCTGGGCACGCGAAGCAGGGCTCGGAGGATCCCGCTGTCTGGAGTCGCGCCGCCCCTTCCTCTCCGACCCGAGCGGTGGCGGTGTCATGAACTGTTCTAGTGTTCTGCGGTGCCTGTTGCATGGGGCACGAGGGTCCCGTGCTGGAGCTGTTGTCTCTGTCTTGGTCCTTGCAGTGAGGATGGCACCGCACATCTTGGAGAATGGGAGCGTGGTCGTCACCACTCTCCTCTTGGTTGTACTTTGGGGGATGAGGTTTTTTGGTTGAAGTCTGCGGCCGAACTCTGCTCGTGCTGTGATCATAGTTGGGGGAAGGACGGAGAGAATTGTTGGAGACTAGAAATGTAGCCGGGGACAGCCTTTTCTGTAGTTCCCTTGATGTTCAGTTACCGTGGTTATACGGGGCGGGCTTTGCTTTGAGCCAATGGGGTGATGGGTATAGTTAGTTAGACTTAGCCACTGTTTGGGTGCCTTAGGACTTCAAACACAGCCATGAAAAGGCTGTGGAAGCTCCTGCTCTTCATAAGGCTCAGATTTCGAAAAGGAAGTGTTAGATTTACATTTGATATTAAAATGATCTGTTTATAAAAGATGGTGGTTTATTTAAAAACTCATATTTTGCATATAATACTTTGGTTTCTTCAACCTTTAAATTTGTTAATGCATTCTTTGTACAGGTGATTCTTCTGCTTAATTTTACAAAGAAATGAGTTGCAATTTAAGTAACAGTAGGTATTCTTGAAAAGTTTGGTTTTATGTTAGAACATCTAGACCAATTTTTGTTTGTAGTTTGTAAAATATATGTTCATGCCCTGTTTTATTACAGAAGAAGGGTGAAGTCGAGGACTAGTGCAGTTGTTTGTGACATGTAGCATTGCCCCTACAATGTGAGTTGGGGATTTGCCTTAGGACACTTCAGGTTTAATAAACCATTTCAGTTGAAATTTTGCTCTGACATGATGCATTCTCTTTTCTTATGAGAAGTTAATTGTTTTTGATAGTTTTCATGAGAAAATAAACATTGAATGAATGTGGGTTTTGGTGTGTGTGTTTTTTTTTTAATTTACTAACATCTGAGCAAGCCCTCTGGCTAATTGTCTGAACTGAAGTTAAATTCTGGATTTGTGCTTTGCTCAGTTAGGACTGAGAGCTTGGTGCCCTGGGCTAGACATGTGTGGAGAGAGTAAGCCCCACCTTTTCAGCTAACGAAATAGGAGTGGCAACAGTAGCTTTTTAGTTTGATTTAATGGTGGCTATAATATAATTGGTTTGGAGATGAAAACCTGGGTGTTTTTTTTGATACTATAAACTTGACAAGATAGTGAAATAGTGGAGAATTTACTACTCAGGATTGGTCAACACATGGTTGTTCCCACTATTTGCAATGCTGTGTGCTGGGAAATGGAAGACCTAATTCTTGCCTTTAGAGAATGTTGTTTATTGGTGTGGCAAGGTCACAAATCCCCACATAGGCATTAAGAATTCAAGTAAGAGCCTTCACTGGTTTGGTTCAATGGATAGAGAGTCAGCACTTGGACTGAAGGGTCCCAGGTTCAATTCTGGTCAAGGGCAGGTTCCCTGGCCCTAGTCAGGGTGTGTGCCAGAGGCAACCAATCGATGTGTCTGTCTCACTCACATCAATGTTTCTCTCTCCCTCTCCCTCTCCTTTCCACTCTCTCTAAAAATCAATGGAAAAATATCCTCTGGTGAGAATTAACAACAACAACAAAAGTAAGAACTTGGATATAGTGTCCTAGGAAAGTTTTCATAAATGTTTCTTACGTATCCAAAAATCATTATTATATATTATGTAGTTTGTCAGAATTAAAGATCTTAGATAGATTGGCATTTTATAATTAAGAAGATAAGATTTGTACTTAAAGATATTTTTTCTTTTTTAAGGAAGGAGGTGTATAGTAATTTGATAAAATTCCTGGCAAAGCATAGTCCTGTTTACATCTTCAGTGCAAGCAGACAGGATACTGGAGAACTGTGCAAAGCTGATGTTAATGGCTGTGAATTTTAGTTGGAATTGAAAGATGTTCACAGCATTCAGTAATTTAGTGCAGTGCCATAAAAGGTTTCATTAATTCCCCAACCAAGAGTATAAGTTACTTTCTGTAGTTCTTGCAAAAATGATAGTTACATGCTTTTTCTAACTGCACAACTGCCTCCTTGAATAATAATAAGAATTCAACATTTATGAAGCCCTTACTATGTCCCAGACACTGAGTTAGGCACTATACATTTATTAACCCATTTAATCTTCATGGTAACCCTATATAGTGAGTACTGTGGAATCCATGTTTTAAAGATGAGTAACACAGTGAGGTTAGACATAATATAATAAGTGGTCAAGGTAGGATCTGGATCCAGGCATTCTGTTTCCAGAGTTCATGCTCTTTATACTTCAGTTGCCTCTGGTCTAAGGATGGTAAACAGAAGGAACAGTGTGCTTTTTTTTCTTTTTAATTCTCACACAAGGATATGTTTATTTTATTTTTTCTTGGATATGTTTATTAATTTTAGAGAGAGGACGGGAAGGAGGGAAGTGGGCAGAGAGAGAAACATTGATGTGAGAGAAACATTAATAGGTCACCTTCCTTATGTGCCCCAACTGGGGACCAAGCCCACAACCTAGGTATGCGTCCTGACAGGGAATCAAACCCATGCGTGACGTTTTGGTGTACAGGGAAGATGTTCCAACCAACTGGGCCACCCTGGCCAGGGCATCTTAACCATTTTTAAGTGTACAGTTTAGTAGCAGTAAGTACATTCACATTGTTAACCATCACCACCATCCATTTCCAGAACTTTTTCATTTTCTCAAATTCTATGCCCATTAAACAATAACATAAATCTCCCCCCAGCCCCTGACAACCACTGTTGTACTTTCTCTCTCTCTGAATGTGACTACTCTTAAGTACATCATAGAAGTGGACTCATACGATATTTGTCAGTTGTGTCTGGCTTATTTCACTTAGAAAAATGTCTTCAAGGTTTATCTATGCTAGCATGTGTCAGAAATACCTTTTAAAAAAAAACTTTATTGATTTTTTTTTTTTTTTTTTTAGAGAGAAAAACATCAATTTGAGAAACATCGACTGGTTGCCTCCTATACATACCCCAACCCAAAATCTGGGCATATGCCCTGACCAGGTATCAAACCAGTGACCTTTTTTTTCCTTTTTAAATTTTTAAAAAATAATTCTTCATTGTTGAAGTATTACATATGTTCCCTTTTTTCACCCCAAAACAGTGATCTTTTGGTGCACAGACAAAGCTCAACTGACTGAGTCACATTGGCCAGAGCCAGAATTACCTTTTTGATGGTGAATAATATTCTATTGTTTATTCATGTATGGATGAACATTTGGGTTGTTTCCACCTTTTGGTTACTGTGAATAATGCTGCTGTGAACATGAGTGTATAAATGTCTATTCAAGTATCTGCTTTGAATTCTTTGGGGTATATACCCAGAATTGGAGTTACTGGATCATATGGCAATTTTATGTTTAATTTTTCAAGGACCTAGCAGTGTGTTTTTGAAAGCAGCTTTGAAGGAAAAGATTGGGGCTCAGATTCTAAAGGTGAATTCCGTCAACATTCATTTATTTTTTTTATTTTTATTTTTTTAAAATATATTTTATTGATTTTTTACAGAGAGGAAGGGAGAGAGATAGAGAGTTAGAAACATCGATGAGAGAGAAACATCGATCAGCTGCCTCCTGCACATCTCCTACTGGGGATGTGCCCGCAACCCAGGTACATGCCCTTGACCGGAATCGAACCTGGGACCTTTCAGTCCTCAGGCCTACGCTCTATCCACTGAGCCAAACCGGTTTCGGCAACATTCATTTATTGACCATCTTCTTAAATACCTCTAGGCTGACACAGGAAGAATCTTAGTCCTATAGAAGTTTACATTGTTAGAAAAAAAGGCAAATATACGCGTTATGATTTTACTATATGTCATTGTAGGTTGAGGCTATAAGAGTCAAATACAAAGAGCTGTAAGGAATTTGTAGTAAGAAGAGTCCACCTTTGGGTGGAAGGAGAGGGGTCAGTGAATAGGGTGGAGTCTAAAGTCTTAGATCCAGTTGAATTGAATGGTAACATGACTTTAGACATCTCTCACACAAAGTATGCTAGAGAATGCTTTGGAATGTTAGAAGGTATGGCATCGTATTGAAATTGGCAAGTGGATTGTAGTCTCCCTTCCAGGGTTTGTGAATCCTGTTCTCTTCAGTTTCAGACCTGATTGTTTCTAATGTTGGAAGGTTAAGAATCATAATGAAGAAATTATGGAGTTGGCATATATGTTATTGCTATCATGTCAAGTTCAAGATAATATTGTTAATATGGTCAACTGTTATTTCTTAAATCTTCTTTCCCTTCACATGGGTTTATGTTTCTGCTAACAAATGAGTAGTAGCAGTAATAGCTTGGGGTTTTTATCTTTTTTTGATTGTTGTTGTTACAGTTTAAGTAAATAATGCTGGATATTTGTTTTTTA